ACTTGCTCTATTGATTACTAAGTCAAGAATGTTGACATTTCCAACCATGATTGTGGATTTGTCCTTTCAAATCTATCATTTTTGGCTTCATGAATTCTTAGGGTATCTTTTTGTGCTGCTGTAACAGAATATCTGAGGCTAGGTAATTGATAAAGAACAGAAATTTATTGGCTTAGAGTTGTGAAAGCTGGTAAGTCCATGATCTAGGGGCTAGCATCTGGAGAGGGGCATTCTTGTTGCATTATCACATACTGGAAGGGGAGAAGGTAGGAAAAGGAGCCAGGAGAGAGAGAGTGAGAGAGAGAAAAGAAGAGGGAGAAAGAAAGAGAGACAGAGAGAGAGAGATTGAGAAAGGGTCCAAACTTGCCCTTTTATAACAAACCCACTCCTGTGATAACAGCATTAATTCATTCATGAGGGAGAAGCACTTGTGGCCTAATCACCTCTCATTAGGTCCCATCCCCCAACACTGTTGTATTTGGGATTGAGTTTCCAGCACATAATTTTGGGAGGACACGTTCAAACCATAGCAGAAGGTCTGTTTTTAGATGCATTCACTTCAGGGTTAATAGATGTTCTTGGTGAATTGACTTCTTTATTAGGTGATGTCCCTCTTTATCCCTGGAAATGTTCCTTGTTCAGAAGTCCACTTTATCTGCTCTTAATATAGCCACTCCAGCTTTCTTTTGATTAGTGTTTGCATGTTATATCTTTCATTGTCCTGTTACTTTTAACTCATCTATGCCTTCATTATTTAAAGCAAGTTTCTTATAAGTTACATATAGTGTAAGGTAGGTAAGCCTAGAGTTGTTCTTGAGTCACTGTATCTTTGGGAAATGTGGATGTGACCAGTTCATTTAAGGGGGCTGAAAAGTAATAGACCTGGGAATGAGAGAACAGGGTCTGAAGTGATAAAGGACACAGAAATCAGGCATTGAGTCAGTAACCTGAGGTGTTGAGCAAGCAAGCAACATAGGCTTCAGGTGGAATTCCAAGTAGAGGGCTACTGTTGCCTGGGAAGTCCAGAGTTCATGCTGGAGATCAAGTCAGAAGGAGTTCAAGGCCGGAGAACTCAGCTACTGAGAACTAATAATGAAAGAGGTTGAGACTGATATTGCAGTGCAAACTAGACAGTCTGGTTTCTGGGAAAGTGAGTGGAGCTACTAAGGAAGTGAGGCACCAAGGTCAGAGAGGACCTGCTCCAAGACAAAAGTAGACAGTGATACCCTAGAGCTCACTTTATTTGCATGTGGATTGTCTTAGAGTGTAGGATGAGCTAAGCTAGCAAGTGGGAATTACATAAATACAATTCCAGATGTAGGATTTAGGGCCAGGGGCCAGGCAGGAGATGATAAAAGACACTAATGGTCAGGTTTACTTACCCAAATTCAAGGTTTTATTTTTGCCTGATGACTTTCAACCACTATAAAGAAAGGATAGAATTTGCTAGAAGGTAGGCGTTCCAGCTTTTATTTTGATAATATTTATTATGTGATATATGCGGTTGCTGCAGATATGAAGCACTTATATATTTTCAACACAAGTCTTTTAAAAAGAGAATGCTAGATGCCATAGGTTTAAGAGAAAGTTGCAAATAAAACATATTCATGAGAAATTAGAATTCCACTCTAAATATTTATCGAATACCCACTATATGGCAGATATTGGGCTAAGCTAGTCCTGGTCTCAAACTCCAGGGATATTATAGTCTATTCTGGGCAAATAAACAGAAATGGTAAGCCAAATTTACACACACAAATGCTAAATTGCAACTGTGACAAATATTATGAAGGAAGGCACAGATTGCTTTATGGATCAGTATTAGGGGGATTTGGCTCCAGCAGGGATATCAGGAAATGATGGTTGAGAGGCAATCTGAAATAGTAGCCCTAGTTAAGAAAGTGAGGGAAGAGTGGTCCAGGTGGAGGTCTGTGGCAGACCAGAGCATGGCTCAACAGCTAGTGTGGCCAAAGTGCAGGAAAAAAGGAGCAGAATGGTTCAAGATGATGCTGAGGAGTTATGAAGGCATAAGACCACGGAAAGGCTTATACCACCATGGAAGAGTTTCATGGAAAGTAGGTGGGAAGACTTGAAGGATTTTTAGTCAATGTATGGAGGTTGGGAGCGGGGATGAGAATGGTGGAAAGAGTATGCAGAGGTGTGTATGACATGATCTGATTTAGAGACTACCTTGGCTGCTTTGGGAGATGAATTAAAGGAGAAGGTATAGTGAGGATTATGGGTAGACCAATTAGCAGGTTATGTCATCTGTAGAAGAGAGACACGTGAAAGCTCAGATTTGGAGGTTGTGTGCAAAAGTGGAGAGGAGTAGGTCAGTTAAAGAGATATTTAAGGGATAAAATCAATAGGACTTGGTGATGGACTGGACATGGAGAATGAGGCAGACATCAAGCATGAACCTTCAGTTTTTAATTTACACAACTGACTGACTAGGTTGGGGTTTGGGGGAAAGACCATAAAAGCAGTTTTGGACATGTTGAACTTCAGGTACCCTTTAGGTATTCAAAAATGATTACCAATAAAATAGGTCAAGTGTAGGGCTGAGCTCAGTGGAGAACCTAGACCTAGAGATTTGAATTTGGGAAGCTTCTGTACAAAATGGCAATTGAGGCAATGGCGTGGATGGCAACGCCTAAGGAGGGGTTAAAAAAAGAACTAGTCAACATCTCAAAAGCTTCTGTAAGTCAAGATGAGACCAACCGAACATCTATTAGAATAAATATTGATGTGGATGCTATTTTTGATGTCAGTGAGCACTTTTTGGTAGAGTGAACACACTACACCCTCAGTGGAATGGGGTGGGGTGCAGTTGATTCTTCACAACAATGGGTGAAGAATCAGAAGTAGCAGTTCTGAATAGCCCTTCGAGAAGCTTGACCAAGAAGAGGAGGTGAGGGAGGGTAGTAGTCGGAGAGAGAATAAGATTGGTGAAGGGGTAAGATAAGCATTGTTATTTGAAATGCTTTAGTGAAAATGAACAGCTCTTAATGACCATAATCAAAATTGAGCTTTGAGAATAAATAGACTGTGCAACAGAACCAATGTTCACTAAATCATTTTCTGTGCTACTCCTTAATTGGTAATAGGTTTTTGGCCATGACATATTTGTTCGTTAATTGCTATGCTTCCTATTTAATCATGCTTTAATGGTTCTCTTAGGAAAGCATGGCTGAAAAAGACTCAAAGAGAGACCTGAATTCCTTTCCATAAATTGTTCCTTACTAAGACTGGACAATTACAAGAAGGGTTTTTCTATAAGTCCTCAACCCCATTTTCATTTGACCTTTGTGAATGTGCACCTCATAGTGAGAATGATATTCAAGGAAAAGGATTTTGTAAGTTCCATGTCTCCATTTCTGTCTTCCTATTATAATCATGAGCAACTCTACTCTTCAACATATTTTACTTGTATATATTAGGGGAAAAAAAGACGGGATGTAGGCTACCCTGTGGAGTGTATGACATACCCTTCAAGGTGACTTTGAAAGGTGATTAATTATAGCAGGGTCTATTCAGTTTCAAAAGTTCAAATTAAATATACCTCAAAACCCTTATCAAAGGGAATATATTTTACATACCTGTCACTTGTGGGAAGGGCTGATTTGAGTCAAAATTAGGAAGGAGGTACAGCTAATCATTAGAATGCTGGCACACCACACTCTAGTCTGTTAAATGAACAAATCTAATACCCCTTGAGTGGCCCTGTCGTAAGCACTAATACTCCACAAGTTCTGTGATTTCACAGAATTGATGTGATTCATTGTTAGAAAGGACTTTTAGAGCTCACTGAGGCCCAGAAACATGAAGGGACATGGCTGAGTCCTCAGTGAGTGAGGGGATAGACAATGCCCTGAGGATGTCAGGCTGCCAGTTCAGTACTGTGTCCACTACAGTAGGTGTCGACAAACTATAGCCCATAGGCCAAATCCAGCCCAATGACTGTTTTTGTAAATAAAGCTTTATTGGAACACAACCATACCCCTTTGTTTACATATTCTCTATGGTTGCTTTTTCTGTACAGCCATAGAGTTGAATAGTGGCCACAGAGATGATATGGGCTACAAATCTTACTTACTCTTTGACCCTTTAAAGAAAAAGTGCTGAGTCCTGTGACTATAGCATTGGCTGCCAATCCTGACTGCACTTTAGAATCACTTCATAAAAAGAAAGAAAAGAAAAGAAAAAGCAAGCACAGGCTACTGAGCCACTCTCTTGACCTTCTGATCCCCAATCTTTCAGAATGGGATCCAGGAATCAGCATTTGCAGAAAAGGTAATTTAAATGCTCGGTCAGGTGAAAAAAATCCCTGCATTACATCCTGGTGCCTTTAAAGCACATTTCAGGCTGAACGTGCCTTTTTCTATGGGCTGAGACTGGAAACAGCTTTCCAGAGCAGTGCTTCACAAACTGCCAAGAGTATCAGAACCCCTGGAGTGCTTGTTAGAGCTCAGATTCCTGAGTCCCACCCCAGATATTCTGACCAGTTCCTGCCAGCTCGCAGGTGGTACTGATGCTGCCAATCCCTTTGCATAGCACCGACTGAGACCAAAAGGGCTGGTGTCTCTAACAAGAGAAAGTTAGGTCCTAGGGACCGTGGGATGAGGTTGGGGATATATTTATGGACCAACTACTGGAATTGTCTTGGACCACGTAAAGACGCCCAGTCCTCTGTTCAAACCATCCCCCAGCTCATCTAAAAGACTTGAAATCAAGCAATCCTTGTTCTGGGTCTTCACTGCTGTATAGGTTTTCTTCTATTGTGTTTTTTAATATTGAGAACTATTCCAAGTGTTCTAAAGTAAATATATTTTGGGTGGAGAGAGGTGGATGGTGGATACGAGACAGTTTCTGGTATAAAAGAAAATGGATCATGTGTCACAAAGTAGTATGGAAAAACAGTAGAAGCTGAAAAAATATTTGTCAACATAACTACGAAAACACAAAATGAAAAAGCAACAGAGACAGGCAGAGACAGAGGATCTTGGTGTCACAAAAATGATTTTATTTTAAACTAGAAAGCAACAGCAATTAAGACAATAGTCTGGGCTAAGGGCTTGGCAGTGTGACTCAAGTACCAGAGATTGAATTTGTCCGGGTGCAAGGAGTGGCATAAAGAGAACCAACTTTCCATTTCCAAACTAAGCTCATCCAGATTATGATACTTATCAGTGATCCCATTTACAAAGGTTTGGATTGCTTTTCAGATTTCAGATTTTTGTAACTATTTTGAAAGGTGGAGGAGCCACTGCATTGAGAGTTTTGAATTGGTGCCCCCTCCTTCTTCATCAATTACAGAAAAATAAAAGGTATTTATGAGAGTTTTGCATTTAAAAAAATCCCTGACCAACAGTTTCTAAACTGCGGCACTATTGATATTTGGGACTAGATAACTTTGTGGTGGGGCTGCGCTGTGCCCCGTAGGATGTTTAACAGCGTCCATGACCTTTAGCCACTAGATGCCGGTAGCTTCCTTTCCCCAGTTGTGATGAACAAAATTGACTCCAGATGTTGCCAAATGTCTCCTGGGGGGCAAAATGGAGCCCTGGTTGAGAAGCACTGTTTTCAAAAACATCCTCCTGTTCTCACCATTGTCTTGGTATGCTTTTTAACATTTTATTAAAGTAGACCAGATTGTCAACTTCCCAACACCAAATGCACATGCATGTGAGCATATATGCGTGTGTCTCTGCAGTTATTTGCATATGTGTGTGGAGCTGGGATGGAATTCCACGTTCACTGGAGGGCGCTAGTTCAGTTCCTCGGGAAGTTTAAGGTCTATACATCAGTACCGGAATAAAAAGCCTGTTTGTATTCAGGCTGTTTCCTTTTCTCCAGCAGAAATCATCATCAATACTTGCAGTCAGTTTTTGAAGTCACTTTCTTTTAAAGCTGGAAAAAAATCTTCACCCAGGCCCACCCTTATCTTAATCCACCATTTAGATTCTTACTCCAATGATGTAGCCAGCCACTTTCAGCTTTGGATCCAGGTTTCTGTATACATATCCGCCAGGAAGACAGGTACCGTGTTTCTGGGTTCTGTTCTGAGTATTGGCTACATAAATTTGCAAGGCCCAGTGCAAAGCGAAAATGCAGGCCCCTTGCTCAAAATTTATTAAGAATTTCAAGATAGCAATAGCAGAGCGTTAAACCGCGCTTAGGGCCCTTCTGAACCCTGGGCTCTGGGCACACCCGTGATGCCGGACCTGGCAGTCTTGGTTGGCGCTGCATCAATTTTATTGTATTAACTTAATTGGCACTGCCATCTCTTTTGCCCTTGTAATGCGATGCTTCCTGTGAAATGAGGACCTAAAATACCATGATCCCAATTCATTTAAAGATAATGCAAAGTTACACGGCAGCAAATGTTTACAGCATATATTTTTTAGACTTTCAAAAAAAAAAATCCACATGGAAATCTTTCTACATCATTACAGTAATTAACGTAAACACTGTGGCCTTTCACCATATACATATTTTCCTGTAAATAGTGACTGCTACTATCCACATGTTTTTAAGTTAGCCAAGAGTGAGACTTCCACAACAAAATTATAACAGAATCTCTTGTGTCCTTATAAAAATAGCCAAAAACATACCCTAAATGGCTTGTAGTGAAAATTTGAGTAGTAACTTCTTTATATTGGAAAACATTATTTTCATGGAAATATTGTCCTTCTAGTAAATGTTTTATGTTAACATCATAAGGCAAACTGTAGCATTTATTGGTACCTGGAGACCATGATTTTAAAAACTCAGAAGCTGAGTTTTAGACCGTTTTATTTAGAACCTGTTAATGTACAAAGTGCATTAAAATATCCATTATCCAGTTACCCAAAATGTATGTAAAAATTACTGAGACAACCCTTTCAGTTTATTCAGGGAAGGCAAATACACATTGTTCTTATATTGTAAAAAAAAAGAAAAAAATCCCATAAAGTTTCCAGAGAATGATTAACATTTTTTTCCATTGAGGTGTCCATCTTTTAGATGTGAAATTGTCTTAAGTAGCTATCAAAATATTCATCTGGGTATAAATAATATAGTAAATATATAGAATCTGTTAAGAAAAAGGAGAGTGTCTGCCAGGGAAGAGGATGGAAGGACACGGGAAGCTGGCTTGGCCTCCCTGGTAGTCTAGATTCACAATCACATGAACTTTGGCCATGTGATGCTGAAACGACAGGTTCATCAACTTATTTCAGGGAAGCGATTGGTTGATTTGGTTAAAAAAAAAATCACTAAAAACAATGCCTAAATCCAGTCTGTTCAGTCAAAATGGCTGACCCAGTATCCCAAGTAAATATTTTAGCAATAGAAACCATTTTTAAAGGTCACACCCTTCATCAAGGTAGAACCAATGCCAGAGTCCTGGTCCAATGACCACTCAAAAAAGCCTTAATTCTTGAACCATTCCAACGTGACAGATCACCATGCAAAAAATCCATCCCATCTGACATTTTATTAGTAGGTTCTATTAGCAGGTTCCCAAATAACGAGTCTGAATTTTCTTTTGTCTTACAACTCTATTGTAAACTATACTAGACTATAGAGGGACATCTACATCTTTCAAGATATATTTAATAAAGGTCTGTTTATAATAACTTTTGAGAGGCATGTATCTAGTGAATAGAATTTATGCAATGTCCCTTGTCATTATCAACTCATAAATATTAAGTGTTTTTCGGTGACATATTTGGATATGGTAGTGGTGATTGGGGCTATGTGCTGATGTCTTAGAGAGCAAAAATCAATCCAAAATGGTGCTGCATTTTGTGACAGATCATGCTTACCTCCTCAGCCCCAGAGACAAAAGGAAAATTGATATGGGGAAGGGGAAAATAGGACAATTATTGAATGTACTGAAGAAATTTTATAGGTCTAAAGGAACTACTAAAAGGAAGGATAAAATAGATTTTATACCATGAAACAAAATCCTACTTCTGACAAAACACAAATCAGCCTTAAGTTTTGAATAATCAGTAGGGTTCAAAATGACTATTTTCAATTGCAATCTCATTCTTACTGTTCTCCCAGAATCCTTAACTCTGGGAGAAGCAGGGAAAAATCTGGCCAAAGGTTTCAGAACCTTTTTTTCCAACATCGTCCCACCAGCCGTCAGAGGGTAATTAAAGATTTAGCCACGGCAAGGTCTGAGGTCCAAAATCAATTCTTTTGTTCTCTCTCTTGCTCTCCATTCTAGTTGATCCAATACAAGTTCTGACATCACAGTTAAAACACTTCAAATTAAACCAGAGTAAGAAATCCTGTTTACTTTCCTACTAGGTTCAGGCATACTCTGTTATGCACTGTTGAGGTGACAGGACCTACCATGGGGTCAGTATGAGATATTATGTGAGAAGGTGAATAAACATACAAAACTACAAAAGATTTTTTTTTTTGCAAGCCCATAGACTGTGATGAAATAAAGGTTGTAAATAGCTGGCAAACATATGGGCCTCTTCATGTGCAAAACCAAATAGTTCCTAAGAGTTGTAGTCCTGATTATGTTTCTCTTATAAATAATCTATAGATTTTCCTCTAAATACAAAAAAATTAAAGAAATTATTAAAGCCTGTACTTAATACGAAACACAGTAAAAGGAGAGGAATCTCCTGTCTTGAGCCCTATCTTAGCTGATTTCTGGACACTTTTTTGGTGACATTTAACCATACTCTTGAAGCCTGTGTTTTCTCAGTCACCTAACTAGTGGCCTCAACCTTTCTATTCCCCAGAAAACAGCTCCATGTGGCCAGATGCTCATGGCAGCTGCTCTGTGCAGTCCAAATGGTCTGGGATAGGAAGCCCAGTTATAATCGTCAAACACTTGTTCCACACGGTGAAGGTGGGGCACACGGGCTGCGCAAAGGCGACCTCGAAGGTGTAGAGGTGGATGGAGTTCAAAGCATCGTAAAAGGCGACAGAGCCGTTGTCATAGTCCAACAGGATGCCAACGCGCCGCAGGTGAGGGGCTGGTTCGATGGAGATTTCCTTGCTATTGTGTCTCACCACCCAGTTATTGTTGCAGCGGCAGAGCGCCCAGGAGGCAGAGTTCTTCCCAATCCACTCATGCTTTGGGGCTGATTTATAAGCAAGGCCAATGGCATACCTGCAGAAACAAAACAGCAAGGACAAAAACAATGAGCCACACTGCACATGCATGTGAAATCTGTTCTATGGTCCTCAGGGGTCATGAAAACATGACTGCCTATTGTCTCTGTTCATTTTCTTTAAGTGAAAGCTTGGCAAGACCCCCAGCACCTGTGCTCCTCGTCTCCTTCCCTCCCAAAAGTATCTCGGGTGGAAAGGAAGCATTGTATTTACCCACATTCCTGTTTTCAGCTCAAACACTATGGAAGAATGTGAACTTTGCGTTTTGCTGCCCCCCCCTTCATAAAGATCTACACAATGGAGTCTGTAGACCAGTGCTGACCAATAGAAGTTTCTGCAGTGATTGAAATGTTCTGACAGCCAATATGGTGGCCACAGGCACATGTGGCTACTGGGCACTTACTGTGGCTGGTGAGACTGGGGAACTAAACTTCAAACTTATTTAATTTTAATTAAGTTAAATTACTTAAATAGCCACATGTGGCTCATGGCTACCATATTGGACAGCACAGCCCTAGACTTTTCCTTTTGACTTAACTTTTCACTTGACACCATGTCTGTCATTTTTCATGACCTTAAATGCATTTTGCCAAAGCAATAAGTAGGATTTCCATTTGTGGGGATAAGTCCCTTGTCATTACTCAGCCTCAGTTGTCTCATCTGTAAAGACACAGGGACAATGATATCTTCTAGAGTTATTTTAAGGAGTACAGGAGACACTACATGTTAAGTCCTGGGTACAGAGCCTGCTATGTAATATTCTGTAACTGTTATTATTATTGCCTGATTACACATTAACAATAAATACCAGAAATCAGATATGCAAACCCATCACTCTTAATAAAGAGTGAATGACTCACAGTTCAAATTTTAATATGTTATAGCAGAAACCAGTCTAACTGGATATTGACATGTGGTACATTACCCAATGCAGAGAGAAAAGTGTCATTGGTCTTTGATAAAATTACATTCTTTAAAAAAATCACATTGGATTTAAAATACAATCACTTTAAGAGTGGTGTGCTAAGAAAGAAAATTAATACGTCATCATTAAATTCAAAAAGAGGATGGAATTGATACTCCATTAAGCCCAGTGTGGCAGCCTGTCTGTTATCAACGCATTTCCTGTCAATCCTCCCCTGCTTATGGGGAGAATCCTGGGGTGCATTTCCCAGAATCCCCTTTCCTGGGGAAGTCTGGGTCAGGTTCTGCTATGGGGATGCCTTTGTATAAGATCCAGAAGTTCTAACAGGAGGGGAAACACTCTTTTCCGATGGCAGACAGTAGACGTGAAGGGAGCTTCCGGACGAGCTCCTAGGTACACTTGCCTCTGTGCTGTGGGCAGCTTTGCAGGTGCACAGCTCGTGGTTACTCCAGGAACTAGAGTGGCATACTCCCTGACATGTGCTCCCCAGCCTTCCCCGGGGCCCTGTAAGCTTCTGGTCCCCTTCCTCCACAGAGTACCTTGAGTACCTCAGCGTTTTCTATTTATCTGCCAGACCCTAACTGATGTACTTTGGAAAGTTTTCGTTTCGCAATTTTCGGTATCTCTGCCAAAGATGTTCTCTATGCCCTGGCAGACACAATTTCCATTCTTCACATAATTTGGAAACTGCATTTGCATCACAAAATAACCACATCTGTACTGTTTCCTTCTTATTGCCATATATCATTTTTACTTTTTATTAAAAAACTTTGATGTTTATTTCCCATTTGAACCTTAATTGAACCCTGTGAAATAGCTGCAGCAGGTATGGATGACTTCATTTAGTAAATGGAAACACAGAGAAGGTTAAAATTAGGAGCAAAATTCAGAATCTCATGCTGCACCCTCCCCTTCTGGTCTAGTAATCTTTGCATGAGCCCATTATTACTCGTTTAGTTAACACCATTTCACAAAACGCTAAGTGCACATTAGCAGCATTAGAAAGTAAGAAAATAACTAAGTGTATAGTCCATTAAGCAAAGGAAAATACCATTATATTATCATTAATCTGTGAAACTATGTACATATTTCCATAGAGCTTGAAAGGTGCAGGTAGAATGTAATGTTCCATTAAGTTACGCAGTGAGACATGGAGAATCCAAAAAGTATAAAAATTATGTTTCTCTGAGCAATGTTAACATGCCCCATTGCACAGATCATAACGCACACATTAATTTAAGGTCAGGAATATATTTCACCAGAAAATATATGTGTCATTAGCTGTTGCAAATCAAAGTATCACAGGCATTTAATCTTAGGGAACACCCCTTCCTTGCTAATGCCTCCCAGGAAATGTGAAATGACTTTTTACATGAGGATTTTCTGAAATAGACACAAACAAGTTTGTAAAGGTCCAAATGTGGCAATTAATTTTAGAATTTCTTTCCCCCCTCATGAGTTAGTTTTGACATCTGGAGGGTGTTTTTAAGGTAATGCTGATCTGTGTTTGTATAACTGAAGTGGTCTGGTAGAATTTCCCGCACTATTCATCAATGGCAATGAGATCATAATGATCGGGTATCATTTATCATAACTAATTATTAATAGGTTAGTAATCATTTAGAGCCTGGATTCTATCCCAGATTAATATAGCACATTAATTAGCTAGAAACATTTGCTTTTTTGCACCTGCATTCATTGTTTTCCTTTGTGCTTTTATCTTGCCCCATGGCAGCTAAAAATTGCAAATGCCAATCTAGCCCAGAGACTAGTGGGGTGAAGGATTTGTTCCCCATCTTCTGGCAGCATGTTGGAAGAGAAAATTGTTCTGGGCAAGGAGAATCGTGAGAATGACGACTGTGGAAAATCTACTCGCTCGGCCAATATAGTATGTACAATTATTGGGAGAGATGGGACACCCAGGCTTACAATTTCACTTCTTAGGTTGCAGTTAACTTGTGGCTACAATATAAGGGACTTAGACACATAGCATTATTTGCATAGATTTGAATTGAAAGGTTTTTAAAAATAAATATAAAGTGTTTTATCATGCTTATATCAAAAGAAACACTGTTACAATACTTACATCTTCAGATTGTGCAGTTTTGAATGTTGGTTTTAGTTTTAAAGCAAGGGTTAAACTATCATTTGTTAAGTACACTACTATAAGCTCTAAAGAGTAATTACAACTTTTCAAAAATATATCACCCTTTTGTGAATAGCAGCATAGCATGGTGGTTAAGAGCAAGGATCAGCACACTACCACTCAAGGGCCAACTCTGGCCCTCTGCCTATTTCATAAATGAAATTTTATTGGAACACAGCCATGCCCATTTGTGTAGGTATTGTCTGTGGCTGCTTTCCGACTACAACGACAGAGTTGAGTATTTGTGAAAAAAATCATTTGGCATGCAAAACCATAAATATCGACTCTCTGGCCCTTTTCAGATAACATTTGTAGACTCTTGGTTAAAAGCTTGACCCCTGATTGCAGACTTCCTGAGTCTGCCACCTGTGAGCTTTGTGACCTTGTGATCTTGGGCATGTACCTCAGTCACTTCATTTGTAAAATGGGCCAATATTAACACCTACTTTTGTAGGGCTGTTATGATGAATAAATGACTTAATGTCTATAAAATGCTTAGACCAATCCCAGGCACATAGTTGTGCTATATGAGGGCTTGTTAAATAAAAATAAAATAGCTCCCGTTTTGATCAATTGCAAGCAGATATTTGTGAAGCAGAAGGCCAAAGGAAGGGGTGCAGTTTGTGGCTATGGGTTAGGCAAGGCTAACTTCACAAGGTCAACTAATTCTAATGTAATTACATCCTGACCTTTGCCCTTAGTCTTAGAAAACTCAGTGGACTGAAGTCACTAGGCTGGATCTAACAGACCTTTGGAAATTATTCCCAGCCTGTAATCACTGCTTCACCCCAAGCCCCTCAGCCCCCAGCTATTTGCACTAATTGGCCTAGTCTAGAATCACAAGATATACAGGTCAACAGAAATTGGTTTTGCAGAATAATGAAGAGTAACATTTGAAAGTAGGAAATGGCAACCTCTTCCTCTAAAGGGCCAGAAAGTAAACATTTTCAGCTTTATGGACCATATGATTCAGTCTTAACTACTTAACCTACTGTTATGGCTCAAAGGCAGCCATGGACAATGTGATGTAAATGAATGGGCCTGACTGTATCCCCATAAAACTTTACTTACAAAATCAGGTAGTGGGCCAGGTTTGGCTCAGGGGCTGTAGTCCCATGCTTTAAGGCATGAAACAGCATTGTTGGCATACTATAGCTCAGGCGTCCTCAAACTATGGCCTGTGGGCCACATGTGGGCCGCCTAGCACATTTATCAGGCCCTCCAGGTGTTTTTCCTGCTGCTGCCTGTCCTGCTTAGCAGCCTACTCATCCTGGGCCCACAGTGCACACTCTCCAACAGTTTGAGGGACAGTGAACTGGCCCACTGTTTAAAAAGTTTGAGGAACCCTGCATAGCTCTTCCAGGGACCAGAACTCTATAATTTTGGTCAGCTAACCTATAGATGAGGGTGTTAGTGTGTTAATGAGCAATTATAAATGGTTATGTTTGAAGCTGCTGAGTTTTGGGGTGTTTGTTATGCAGCATTATCTAGCAATAGCTGACTGATACAGCTTTTCTATATTTTATTCAAGATGGATCCTGGTATGGGTTGATGCTCTGACAAAGTATACAATGAGATGTGCCTTTGTATAACTGGAGGACAATAGATGTAAGTTGCCTACCATGTGCTTCCACTTATGACCACTTCCCAATAATGCCGGCCACTATCAATAAACACATTTCCAGCTACTCCGTAGCTCCCTTGGCTGGTGAAGCGTTCAGGCGTGTGACTCTTTTTGGATGATGACTCATCACGTTCTACTGTCAAGTTATCATGGGACACCTTCAGTTTTCGATGAGCAGATTTAGGATCCAGTTTAAATGGTTGACCTGGAAACAAGTTCACAAAACAAAAAGAGGAAAAGGAAGAGGAAGAGGAGTGTTTATTTTAATATAACCAATAGCATATTTTCATAATTAGATTTAAAAGGTAGGAACAGGCCAGCCCTCCTATCACAAAGAGGTATCTTATATTTGAACAGTAATTTAAACTTTATAAACAACTTTTGAAGATATTTATTTGCACAGTTTTCATGGTATTGAAAATATAGGGAGCAGTAACTCTATGTAAAGTGTAGTAGGCAGTAAGAGTGATGTGTAAGCACATTAAGAGCAAATAAGAACAAGTCCCTGCCTTCATGATCTTTTAGTCTCTCAGTTCCCAGATAGGAATCCAGTAGTGCTGTGGTAATTATTCAATAACAGCATGGACAAGGATTAACCAGAACACATGGTATAAGCTATCTTTGTGGATTTCAGTTGTATACAAGCAGCACGGGTACATATTGGCTGGAGAGTATCCCAAAAAGGAGGAATGAAGACTTCATTTTCACCCATTGCCATATTCAATCCAGCTTAAAATGCATTTGAATAATCAATAGATTTCAGCTTCAAAACCAAACAAATCAAGATTTTAGGTCTTCCACATATAGAATATGTGTTAAAAATTAAAGCATTACTCTTATGAGCTTAGAATGACTATAAAATTTTCAGCCCACAAAATCAGGATAAAAAAATGTGATAGCAATGCCTGGGTTTTTTACTCCTTAGTTTATTTATAAATAATAAGCCCTCTCTATTTTATCACACACGTTTGTATTTTAAAGATTATCTATTAAAAAAATTTTGGCAGAGTCACACCTGGACATTTTGTCATAGCTGTTACTTCTCTGAAAATTCAATATTGGTTTGGAGTACTGCCTGTTGTTCAACACCACTTTGGGAACAAGGCATTTAAAGGCAGGAAATGAGTTACAACCTGATGCAAACACCATGGTGTCCAAACTCCATGGCCACTGTTGCCGTTGGCAGATCCCATCTGCCCAGTATATGGCTCTGAGACAATCACAGGGGCAAGTTTGGTAGAGTTGACTGTGGCCATTCATGATGCTGGCTGAGTGAGCATGGGGCTGTGTGTATTTTGTCACATGTGAGCAGGCCAAAGGATTTCCATTTGCCCTTTGGACACAAAACCAACACTAGCACCTCTAAAATTCTTTCTTTTAGGTCAGGGACCAACACACTTTTTTTTTTGCAAAGGGCAAATATAGTAAATATTTTTAGCTCTGCAGGCTATGTGGTCTTTTTCATGACTATTCAACTCTGCTACTGTCTAGAGGAAGCAGCCACAGACAATAAGTAAATAAATGGGTGTGACTATATGCCAATAAAACTTTATTTAGAAAAACAGACAGCCAGTTTTGGTCCTTGAGTTACAGTTTGCTGGTCATTGTTTTAGATTTATGTCCATATGAAAGAAAAGCTTAAAAGGTGGAGTTGAGAAAACCCTCAGGGAGTAGGTATTCTCAGAAGCTATGAGACTTACCAGATTACATTGTGTAATTTAAATTTTGACTTGTCTTGTAAAAAAAAAATAAAAGTCCTTGGGAATGATCATGCCAGCAACGATTAGGGATAAACTAGAAACTAAGACAAGAAGAGTATGAAGATAGCTTTGTTTAAAATATTTCAATTTTTAAAGGTGAAAGGTAGAATGTGAGTAAAACTAATTGGATACTAATGGGCAGAGCAGGAAGAAATAAATGGCATCCATCATTTATAATGAAGGCCAAGTTCTGCTCGGCCTCCTTCCAGTGAGGAATGTCAGAATGCTATAGCTATGGGAAAAAGTTGGCCCTGTGATGGCAAGATACTGCCTCCAACATCTTGCCTGCCTTGGTTCACACCCTTAGCCAAGCACTCACAGAACAGGATCTTGCATTCTCCGTGAGCAAATTCTGCCTGTGCCTCACATGTGTTTCCCAAATGGACAACTACCCACTCTGCCCAAATTTACTTTTGCTTCAATAAGGACAAATTAGCTAAGAGAAGAAATGAATGGCTTACTTTACTAAGAAATTCCTTTTTTTCAAGATGGAGACTTGCTCTGTCACCCAGGCTAGAGTGCCGTGGCGTCAGCCTAGCCCACAGCAACCTCATACTCCTGGGCTCAAGCAATCTTCCTGCCTCGGCCTCCCGGAGTGCTAGGATTACAGGCATGAGCCACCCACCGCACCCGGCCCTTACTAAGGAATTCAATTGATTATAATATTTGTATAGGGTACCACTCTATTCAGGCCACTGTTTACCTGCATGACCAATTCTTTCAATAATCTCTTAGCACTTTGACGGCTGCCAATCTCCCATCTTTGTAACCCACTCGCTATATCATAGCACAAGAGAGCTTTATTTAGTGGAAATTCTCATCCAGCCTTGCTTATTTAAACTCTTTGAACTTTCCCCCACCAATCATTGCCATCTGAAGAAACTCTCTGGCGTGGCCCAAGAGGGTTTCACAATCCGGTTCTTGTATTTAGCTTTTTGGCTTGCCCATCCTCCCAACCTAAGATACTTTAACCACACTGATCCATTTTCTGTTCCCCAAACATATTCTTGTCTGTGGGCTTTTGCACATGCTGTTCCCTCTGCATGGAACACTGCCTCCTCCTCATATCCCCTGATCTTAACCCACCTTGGAAAGCCTCCTAAGACTGTGCTGAGCACCCCCACTGGCAAACCAGCACCTCTCATGGTTACTCCTATTGTAGACATCACAACTGAATGATAATTAAGGATTAATGTACTTTATTGCCCAATTGTCTATGAACATTCTGAGAGAAGCAAACCCCAAACATAATAAGTGGTCAAACAGTTTTTGAAGGAACAAATACATGTTCAAAGGTAAATCAGAAAGTGCTGATCTGAGTGTGCATAGGTATTGTGCCATTTGTCATATGGTTATAAAGAAACATGTCATCGTGTTATATTTTCTTATGTACTTAGAATTGTTTTGAGCTTGTCTTTGTGACAACTCATACATGAAACTAAAATATTCCCATTTTAAAAGTAAAGAAACACTAAGTGTGGCATGGGATCCAAGACTGGATCCTGGAACAAGAAAAGAACGTAAGTGAAAAATTGGTAAAATCTGAATAAAACCTGGAGTTTAGTTAAAAGTAATGTACCAATGTTAATTTCCTAGTTGTGACAAACGTACCAAGGTTACATAAGACGTTAACATTAGAGTAAACTGGGAGAAAGGTATACAGAACTCTGTATTATATATAGATTTCCTGTAAATCTAGAATTACTCCAAAATAAAAAGTTTATTTAAAAAAATATGAAGAAACTAGTCACATGGCCACATGGGTATCAAGCGGCAGAGCCTCAGTCTTCTCATCCTTAACCCAGAGCTCTCTTTACACTACTTTGCTGTTCCCCCACATGCTCTGTAATTGGGGAACCAGGGAAATGGGCTAAGCGAGGGTTTCTCTTGAAAAGCAGTTAACTCTTTCTGTTGACTGGCTGACAACCCCACAACATGGCGCATATTGACACACTCCAATTTGCTTTCTCTTGGGAGGTCTTATGCAAAGAAACACTGTGTTATATAACATACTTCTAGATAAAAAAAGATGTAAGGAAAGAAGAGAGGTAACACAAAAAGAATATGGGCAGAGACAGGGGGAGACAATGGTACCACAAGGCACATTGTTCTCTGTGGGGGGGCGGTGCTGGGTGTTGTGGGATGTTTTCCAGCATCCCTGGCCTCTACCCACTAGATGCCAGTAGCACCCACCTCAGCTGTGACAACTCAAAATCTCTCCAGACCTTGCTAAATGCCCCCTAGGGGGCAGAACTGCCCCTGATTGAGAACTACCATCCCAGACAGTTCTCTGGAGTAAAAGAAATGTCTGAATGAATAGTTATTGATTTGCTATTCTGCTATGGAAAGCAACACTACCTGCCATTTACAGAGCCTCTACTGTGTGTTAGGTTTTATATATACATACTCTATTTCCCACTAGAACCCCTCCAGGATTATTTATTTAAAAAATGAGAAGACAGAAGTACACAGAGATCCATGGCCTCATGGCCGTGAAGGAGTAGAGTCAGTTTTGGAGCCCAAGGGTATCTGATACAAATTCCACTATTCCACACTGGCTCTATATTTGCTTTGTGAAGCTGTCAGTAATGCCTGAGACAGAGAAAAGGAAAAGAAAGGGGGACAGAGTCAGTTGAAAGGAGAGCAGATGAGACATGACAGCTCCGCTGAGTTCATAGCACTTACTGTTTGTCTTCAACTTCCCAGGCTCGCTGCTGCGGCTGCCTGCCTGGTTGATGGCCTTGACCATGAAGATGTACTTGGTGCCGCTCTGCAGACCGTGCACCGTGTAGTGGTTCTGCTTGATGTTGGGCACAATCATCCAGCTATCGGCCGAGTTACACAGACCTGCAAAGCCAACCAGACATGGTGCAGTTCTTTGGCACAAGCACAGGGCAATGTTTGCATAATTTTAGTTTATTTGTACTGTTAGAGTGAGAAAGTGGAGTGCTTTGTCATGGCAGTCATATATGACAAACTGACTTCACTAACGTGTGGCAGATTGCATTTTTGCCTCCAATTCTTCATCCTGCCCTGTATCAAGGCCTAAGTGAATTTGCAGGTGCTTCCTCTAAAGAAGTGGAGTATATTTTCCTATTACATGCTTTGAATTTGGTCACATGACTTGCTTTGGCCAATAGGATGAGGCTAAAATGACAATGTGCCAGTTGCAAGAGTAGGCATTACAAGGACTTGAGGGTTTCTCTTGACCTGCTGTGTCTCTGCCATTGCCGATGGGGAAAACATTCCTGGGATAGTCTGCTCATCCCAACCAGCTGACACATAGGGAACAGCTTTACCACCCAGCCAATGCCGGGCCAATGCAAGAGCCAGCCAAGTATAGATCAGTCAACCCCAACCAACCTGTGGCAGGAGAGCTAAGAAAAATGATCATCAGGCTTGTTTGTGATCCTGTATTAGTATGGCTGTAGCTAACTGATAGAGAAAATATATTCCTAAGAGAACCCTGGAGCAGCAGCATCTCTGGGCAGCTCAGGGTCTAGTGCGGATCTTGGGAAAGCATCCACATGGATTTCTGACCAGCTGCATCCCTTTGATGGCTGGTTCCAGAGTGGAGTGGGGCTGCTGCCCTGGCTGCATTCCGCAGGATGTGGGTTGAGGAGCAGGCTGAGGATTTACGATGCTTGGAAGAACATGTAGGAAAAAAGGAAGCCCATTTTGTTTTGCAGCTGGCTGATTCTGAAAACATCTTTTTGGTATCAGGTCCAACTCTGCTCTCTCCTCTTTCCACCCATCAATCTCTACTCCAAAAGAACCTTTTTCCAGCCCCCTGGTGACTGGGCTGTCATGAAGTTTCCTGACTCTTGAATTTCCTTCACCAGTTCCTCGGAGAGAGGGCTGGGCCCCTCCACTTCCTGAGGGACCAGGCTCACCTCCCCACTTCTTCCCTCTCAGTTGATTTGCAAGTCAAAGGGCTATTTCCTTTGATCCGGAGGCAACTTATACCTTCCCAGACTCTCAAGAAACACTTTCTTAACCTTTTTTTGGTCTCACCTCTTTAAGAATCTAATAAAACTTTTCTGTAGAAAGAAATTCACAAATGCATATACACACTGAACCACAAATATTTGCATAGCGTTTTAAGATAGTCACAGCCCCCTCCAGTCTTTGATTCTTACTGAATACTTTCTCCAACTTTTGAGTTAATTATTCATGATATTCTCATAGTTGAGAAGAACTTAAAAGTATTTTGTCAACTGTGAAAATTCACCTCAAATGATTTGTATCTTGGGTGCATAGTATTTTCAGGTACACTTCAGTGAATCTTAAAAGAAATGTTAAAAGGATATATATATATATATATGAATTTTCTGTTGTGAATTTTCTGTTGCCTCTTTTCATTTTCACCTGTGAACATTTTCACCAGAGGACTGCCAGATTTGAAAGAGCTAGGTGAAAGCAAGGAAATAAGTTGAGACTCATGGCCAGGCACAGTGGCGCATGCTTGAAGTCCCAGCTACTCAGGAGGCTGAGGCAGGAGGATCACATGAGCCCAGGAGTTTGAGGTTGCTGTGAGCGAGGCTGATGCCACTGCACTCTAGCCAGGGTGGCAGAGCAAGACTCTGTCTCAAAAAAACAAAAAAGTTGAAACTCACAGAAAAGTTTGAGCATGTGTGTGTTTATGTTTTGAGATTCAGTAGAGCGACTAGAGGCCCCAGCCATTCCTCATCCCCTGATTTTCTCTAACTCTTAGCCCTCCATTCTCCTATGAATTCTCATTTGTATCAGATCCAGGAAAATATCCACAAGTAGTTTAGTAACATGGGTCTCTCCCTACTATATATCCCATTTGATCCTTCCTCACGTTACCTTGTCCTTGGACAGAGCTATAATAAACTCTCTACTCCTGGATACTGCCACAGCCAAATATTAGATTTTGATCTGATCAAAGAAGGGTCATTTTGAACTCTGAGTTCTGGGCCCCAAGAGGCCAATAACTCTCTTCAGGTATTTAATAATAATATTACAATAGCAATAAAACAAAAAAGAATAGCTTTTATATTGCCTAGGATAATATACTCATATTCCTAGATCTTTGTCAACAGCAGTCAGGCACAAATGAAAACAATAACAGCATTCAGTAGATTCAAATGAGAATCCCATCAATCTTACTGCTTCTACACTGTTCCTGTTTAATTGCATATGTTACAATAAAATGACTATTGTGGTCAAAGAAAGCAAATGTAAAAATGTTTCAATAAACTTTACATCACTATACAACCCCAAACTGGGTTTAATGTGGTGGGGGAATGCTTTCAGCAACATCATAAAGCAGATGTCTGAAATTGCTGCAAACTGCAACTTGGCCTACAATCCAAAGTCTTAACCCAACAAAGATTTAATGTTTCAGAAACCATTTCCAAACAAAAAGGGACTCTGCCTATCCTGATTATTTTGAAGAGGTCACTAATTTCTTCCTTGAATATTGAAAGAACAAAATGTTTATGTAGTAGTAAAATTTTATTGGTTAGCTTTACACTGGGACAATCTATTTTCATGAATACTTACAACTATTACTGTTTAAGTTTACCTTTACATTATTACTATTGCCAAGATAATAATTGAGAAGTTGATTAAAAATGCCAAGAAAGCAACACTGACAATTTTCTTTTGGGGACTGGAGTAAGTGGGGTGACTTGGAGTGCACCATTATTGTGTTACTGGTGTTGGTCTCAGGCCAGCAGCACCTAACTTCTTGCATATGGTGCTGAGTGCCGAGTTTGCTTAAGCAAGACTTCTCGGCCTTGATACCCCACTGTGTTAGGACTGTTGACCAGGTTTTATTCATCTCTTTATGAAACACCCACATAACCATCCTGACTAAAACTTCACTTTTCTCGAAACTCATTTTCAATCATCTTTGAGGGTATTCCAACATTCACCTCTTCCAACTCAGCTTGAAGTATTAAAACAACAATGGAACTTGGAAGATAATTAGTCCAGAATGAAATCTAATTGAGTTTTTTGATTTTGTACATTTTTTTTTTCCATTCACAACGGGTCAGAAGCATTTCCCTAAATAATGTGACTCATTATAAGATCTTAATTACATTTGGGATTTTAGAGCCTTGTATGGCAGCTGTCATTTTGCCGCAAACCATTCTGTGTGAAAACATCACACAACGTGGACACTTCGGAGAAGATGCACACTGGCTTCTGACATCTTTAGTCTCGTCCAACAGATTGGACAGAAGTGAATATTCTTTTCTTGCTTCTCTATAAAACTAGTATAACTTTAATAAGTTTCATGAGTGTTTTTGAAATGACTAAAATAAATTAAATACAGATAACTATTAATGCTTTGCCGTTAAGGCTTGAAAAAAATGCAGCCTTTGATTTTTGCTAATAATAAAAACAGGCTGGGAGAAGGCTCGAATTTAAGATTTTAAATGAGGCATTAAAAGTAGTTTTGGAAAAATGGAAAACATTGTCAAATTAAATATATATCTAGTTATTAATAAGCAATTCATTAACATCTGTAGTCATAACCCTATTAACAAAAATGAAAAATAAAAATTTAATGTCATTAATTTTGCATATCAATGTATGTGTTTCATTAGTGAGAGTCTTTTTGTAAGATTAAAAAAGTTCCATAGATAGTATCTAATTCTCCTTCACTAAAGCCAGTTGAAGGCAATTAACTACAATTTATTATGACAAGTAAAGGGACCGTGACCTAGACACAGAAGATTTCTTAGTGACATAAGGAGCTACAGCCAGGTTTTGAGCATTACATCTTCTCATTTTCAGTAGATTTTACTGTTAGATATTGTCATTCAATAAAACATCTGCAAAGGATACTCCTCCAATAGGGCAGATTATTTAATAACATTCAAGGAAGGCCTTTCACGTAAAGATTGTGTGAACAGCTATTATGTAGATAATTCTGGCAAATTGCACAACTGACCTTTCTCATATGACATAAAATATCAACTTTTGTTTTAAAATGCAATGACAGGTGAGTACAGTCTATATTTTTGTAGGAATAATAACTTTGAATACCTATGTGTACCACTGTGGCAAACACAAGGCTAAAGCCTTTACTTTTATTATCTCAAGATAATTAAAACATCTTTTCTTACAGATGATAAAACATGACATAATTTGCCCAAGATTATAGAGCTAGTGAGGTGCAAAGTTGGGATTCAAATCCAGGTCTCCTTCAGTCACTACAAGTATGTATAATAGCTAAGAAGAAAATAATTTGAAAATGATTGCATCTCAGTTAGCATTTTATCTAAATTTATTCTTTTTTGTTGCAAATCAATCTTGTAGGCATCAGGACTTCACAAATACTGATACAAACAACCCAATAAGAGTATCCCAGTTTGATCAGCACCAGTAGTTTCACTGTTTCCCATCCATCCTGGGAGAATGAGCCTTTCTGGCATTTGTGCATTAAATAAGGCAGGCTCGTAATCTTCATTAAGCCATTTGCATTTTTTTTGTAGCAACTGGTTTCTGAGAACAAAACACCTTATCTGGAATCACTCAACAAAGTTCTGAGTTCATTATACTTAGTAGTTTGCTCTTGTTGAATTTCTTTAGGCATGACCTCCTTACATCGTATTCCATTTATGTGTCCTGTTTTGGCATTACTTTCCACGCCAATAGGAAATCAAGTCAGTCACAGTTTAGCCAACTGAGAATCCCTAAGTGTCAAGCAATAAATATCTTCCTTTCATTTGGGGGATGGGGTGAAGCCCTAGTATCAAGTTAGGGTTCTGAAGTAGATTGCCTTCTGGCCCAATTCCTTGCTCTTCCCTGTAGTCACACTCTTTTGCCATGTGACTTTGAGGGCCTTCTCATCCTCATTCTGGGCTCACTCATGGGATGTGCTTTGGCAAATGGCATGTCAGCTAACGCGACACAGATGGGGGCTGGAAAAGCACATGTGTAATCGGGCCTACCCTTACACCTTCACCTCTGCAATCACCAGGAGAACAGTCTCGAGCTTGATTGTGGGAGGATGAGAGAGCTGTGTAGCAGCCGGGTCGCCCCAGCCACCAGCCTGCCATGCCAGGGGCCAACATCAGCAAGGCCTGCTAGCTTACCCTCAGCTGACTCCAGACTGAGCAATAAATGTTTTTTTGCATTTATTGAGCAGTAAATGTTTGTTGTTATATGCTACTTAGGTCCTGTGGGTGTTGGCTGTTCAGTCTCGTCAGTGTAGGCCAAGGCTATCCATATTCCCCAAATGCTCATGATAATTTGATTCAAGAAATTTCAGGAGAAACATAACCCTCTGTAATGGGCATGCCCTAGGGTGGCCCCCAGGATTCCTATTCCCTAGTTGTCATGATTTTGTGTGATCTTCTCTGCTTAGTGTAGGCAGGACCTGGGACCTGCTTCTAACCAGCAGAATATGGCAAAGGACAAAGGTCTATCACCTTTATTACTCCTGTGATTATGCTACATTATATGGCAAAGGTGAAGGCAAAGGGAGTTTGCAGATGTAATAAAAGTCCCTAATCAGCTGACTCGGAGTTAATCAAAAGGGAGATTATTTGGGGTGGGGGTGGGGATCTAACCTAATCAAGCCCTTTAAAGGCCTGTTTAGAAGTGAAATAGCAGACTCTCTCTCTCTCCCTTGCTAGCTCTGAGGAAGCAAGCTGCCACAAATTCCACAACCATAACGAAACAAATTCTACCAACAAACTGAGGGAGCCAGGAAGTAGATTCTTCCTTAGTTGAGCCTCCAGATGAAATTGCTGCCCAACCAAAACCTTGATTTCAGCCTTGTATGACTCAACTGTGCCTAGAATCCTGACCCATGGAAACTAAAATAACAAATAGGTATTGTTTAAAACTGCTAAGTTTTAGTAAGTGTGGTGTTGCATAATGGATAACAGAAAGGGCTCTGGAGCTAAAACTGCTAAGGTTTGGAAATTTGTTTCACAGCCATAGAAAACTTATAATTTTTCATGAATCGAGCAAAAATGATTTCAGAGAGATATAACATTTTTCACATGGGCCAAGAATCACCTGTTGGTATAAAATGGCACCAAATATTTTCTTTTTCTAGTTAGACTATTCACTGATCAACAGACATTGCTTCCATCAGTCCTCTATGTGTTTTCAGAGAATATTCTATTGGTGTTTTGCAATGAATCATGCCTCCATTTTCTACCTGCTCTTCTCAGATCTTCATACACTCCTTTTCTCTCATTATCTTGGAATTTCTGACCATCTTTTGAATTTTAACTTAAGTTAGACACATCCCTGGTTCAGTTTACCCAATATGTCAGTAATATTCATCACACCACATTGAGAAAATAATTCCTTAAGTGAAGACAAAAAGAAGTTAATTACATTCCCTTCTTTCTGTTATGTTTTCTCTTCCATGCTTTATAGTACAGTAGTGTGTGGGTCAGTGTGTTATGGTCTCAGTATTTAGCATGTTGTCATGTAGATGTTACATGCTTACCTTGCATTAAATCAGGGTTTCTCAACCTCGACACTGTTGATATTTTGGGCCAGATAGTTCTTTGTTGTTGGAGATTTCCTGTGCATTGTGGGATGTTTTTCATTGCCCCTGTCCTCTACCTACTAGATACCAATAGCACCCTCTTCCCAGGTTTTGAAAACCAAAAATGTCCCCAGACATTGCCAAATGTCCCCTGGGGAGCAAAACTTCCCTTGGTTGAGAATCACTGCTTATATGAAGAAGTGACTATTTAGTATGATATTAGTGATTATAGATTAATTGGTGTTTCAGGTTTATGGTGAAGCACAATCAAGGTTTGAAATTTTACTGGACTTTAATTCCATGTTAAGTTTATGGTATGTGTATCCAAGATCAGTGACATATAAGCTCATACAGGCTGAAAAAATGCATTTAAAAAATTATGTCTCTGTGAAGGGCAATTTGGCAATGTCAACTAAAATTAAAATGCAAATAATCTTTTCCTAGCAATTGCACCTCAAGAGATTATACTACACATATTAATTATATGTGTAGTATAATCCCACATATAAAAGAAGAGATATTCAAGGACATTCATTGAGACATTGTTGATAAGGGTAAAAAATTAGAAACAAGCCAAATATATATCAATAGAAGATGGGATAAATAAATTAGAGCATATTTTTACAATGGGACATTACACTGCCTCAAAAAGGAATGAGGCAATTCTTTATTTGTGCTGAAATAGAATGATCTCTCACACACATTATTTAGTGAAAACAACAGGGTAAAGAACTGTGTATAGAATGTACATACAGAAAAAGATTTTAGAGAATTAGTATTTCTTTGTAACTTGCAGCAGGGCATATAGAACCAGGAATGAGGAAGGATACTAAAAGAATTCAAAATCCTGGAAAGAGAGCAAAATGATACTGAACCATTGCCATGGCAGTGCTTCTCAAATTTGCCCCCAAAAGCACTTCAAATGTCTGAGGACAGTGGTGATGTTTCCCAGGCAAATGGGCCAAAGGCAGAGAAGCCTTTTTGGAATTATCTTTGCCTTTCCATCTCTGCTGTTGGTGCCATTGGCAGGTCCTGGCTATTGCTGCCTCAGTGAATTACTACAAAATCTCCTGGCTGATGTCTTTGTTTCTAGCCCCACCCTGTTCCCCTCCACCTTCCACAGTGCTCCTGAGTCAGCTTCTAGATGTACATTTGATCACACCACTGCTGTACACGACTCTTAAGCCCACAGGGTGAAATCCAAACATGGTGTGGCCTGGGTATCTCTATGTGATCTGGCTCTTGCCTGTGAGTTAGTATTAAGTGACTGATGATTAAGAACATGTGCTTTCTGGAGCCAGATAGATATGGGTTTCAATCCTGGTTGTACTTCTCTGTCTTCATTTCCCACTGTCTCCCTTTCCTCACTTGCCTCGCCAGCCAGCCTTATTAAGGCAAGATCTCCCAGCATGCCCTGCTATGTTATGTCTCGATAGGTTTGCTTATGATGACACAGCTATATGGGATACCCTAAACTTGCTGACAGGCACCCACTCTCTTTCAAGACTTAGTTTAACCATAACTTCCACCAAGACCTTTCCGTCCCACTCACCATTTCTGCCCTCTCTATATTCCCTACCTACTCGGGCAGCTTGCCAAAGCTGTTCTTGACATTTCATGACTTTCCCCTCTTTCATTCAAAAATTATACATTCTTGGTAAATGGCAGAATTCTAATAAAACCTTCCAAGGCAGGCCAATTACGGGGTAGAATATGAGAGGGTTGGGGAAGGTAGGGGGAGCCATTTGTTGCTATGGGTCATTTACACTTTGGTCACTTAGAACTTGGTATTATTTCTGCATAACTCTTTCAATTAATACTAAATCAAATTTCTATTTTAAGCATCACATGCCTCAGAACTACTTGTGCTAGGAAAGAACAGTGTAGTTAAGAGAGAAAAAGGTGTATGTAATAAAAGCACATTAAGTTGATATAGATTTATTTAAAACATCTCTTTGTGGAAAAGTGACTGCTATTCTATTCTGTTCTATTTTGACATATTCTAGTTTTCTTTGTTAAAGAAGTTTCAAACTTGCTCCCTTGAAGAGCTATTTCTTCTGGTCCTTTGCCATTTGATCAATTTAATTTAAATAAATCTGTGGGGTGGGGAGGAGTGCTTCCTCTGTTATCATGTCTCTGGCCAGCTACTACTACTGTGTGAGATCAGAAAATTGCCCCTGATGCCAAATATCAAACAGGCCTCAGTGAGAGAGGGGCTCCTCTCTGTTTCAAGTAAGGGTGGGAATTCTTTCCAGGTGAGGCCTGTTAATAACATTTCAAGTGATGGCCCCAGCTCTATTCTGAATGGGATCAAGTATTTAATGTTCTTTGGCTATTTATGTTATTAAATCCTTTCTTTTTAAAAAATATTGTGAAATAACACTCAGAAAAGTACATAAAACTACTTGTATGATATAATGACTAAAACATGTAATTTCCACCTAGAAATTGCACTTAGCCCCAAGAGCCCCCATATATTTCCTTCTAGTGGTGCCATTCTCCCTCCCATCCTGAAAGTAACCATCATCCTGACTCTCATGTATAGTTTTAACACCTATGAATGTGTCTTTAAGCAAAATAGTTTATTTTGATCTCTAAGTTCTGGATCTATAAATGGATTCATACTGCATGTATTTTTTTTTGTTTGTTTCTGGCTTCTTTCCCTTCAAAATATGTTTGTGAAGATTCATCCCTATGATCTGCCAAAGGTCATTAATTTTCATTAACATATGGCCAGCTATTTTTACTAGTGTAGTACATGTGAGTGCTATCACTTTCTTGGTCAGGAAAGATAAGTCGATAAATATTGTGTGTTCTTTTTTTTCCTTGTCTTCCTTTGATGTTTAAATTCAAGAATGCAATTTATCTGAAAACAGCCACCCAATAGAGAAATAAATAGGCCATGAGATACTCACTAATGACATTGGCTTGTCCGGTGAATATGGTGTACTGGAGCTCATAGGAGACCACACTGAATTCATCATCAGAGGTCCAGTGCACAGTGATGGTGTCGTATGAAGCCGTGCAGAGCTCTTCTCTAATTGTGGGAGGGTTGGGAGCTGTGGGGATCAAAATGCTCGTGAGTGGAAAAGCAGGCACCACTGGAATATCATTTCAGAAAAGATGTTTGACAGTTAAGCAGGCCTTTCTAAAAAGGTCCATCAGAGCTACTATCCTAGAGATAGTAACTCCAATCCAAAGAATATTTGGTTGCCTGGATATTACTTTTATTTTTAACAAGGAATGTAGCCAGAGTTCAGCTAATATGGACTTATCTCTGTTTATCATGAGAATTTGTTTAGGAGGTTAAGCAAACAATACTCTCTTCTGCATGATGGAAAACATGTCAAACAAAAGTAAACAAGATGAACTTCTGTAGTTTCATTCACTGGGGTGGGGAGGGGTGGCAAATTTTTTCAGTAATGGTCTAGATGATAAATATTTCAGGCTTTGTGGGCCATACTGTCTTTGTTGCGACTACTCAACTCTGCTGTTGTTGCATGAAAGGAGCCATTTACAATTTCTACACATGGGCATGGCCAGATTTCAATAAAACTTTATTTACAAACCAGGCAGAGGGTCAGATTTGGCCTATGACCCAAAGTTTGCCAACCCCTGATCTACATGGTGCCAGGTATATATTTATTTTTTTTTTTGAGACAGAGTCTCACTCTGTTGCCCTGGCTAGAGTGCCGTGACATCAATCTAGCTCACAGCAACCTCAAACTCTTGGGCTCAAGTGACCCTCCTGCCTCAGCCTCCCAAGTAGCTGGGACTACAGGCATGCACCACCATGCCCAGCTAATTTTTTCTATATATTTTTAGTTGGCCAATTAATTTCTTTCTATTTTTATAGAGACGGGGTCTCGCTCTTGCTTAGGCTAGTTTCGAACCCCTGACCTTGAGCAATCCACCTGCCTCGGCCTCCCAGAGTGCTAGGATTATAGGCGTGAGCCACTGCGCCCGGCCTGTGTCAGGTATCTTTATATTTAGGCATCCAATTGGAAAAATACTCTTGTTTATCATCCCAGAGAAAATCAGTCAAATAATTGTTTGGAATTTTTGTTTCATTAGATGTTTCAATGCCTTGTAAAAAAAAAGAGTTATTAGTGCAGCCCCATTTGCTTCTCATTTCTCAATTTTGTGGGTGAAATTTCAAATTAAGAAGACCATGATTAACGATCAATCATATCTAAGAGGTACATTTTCTTTCCCCAAGGAAAACACGATTTTTTTGGCATTTGGTTAACTTTATCACTGTTTTAAAATAGGCTGTTGTTTTATTTCTTTAACACATTCTAGAGCAGAGAAGTCTAAATCCTACCAAAATAATGAATTTAAAATGACTTCTACTGGATTGGTTTCAGTAACTGGTTTTATGAGAAGAGTATGTGAACAAGAAAAAGACTAGGCAAAGAGTGCTTTGCATTGAAAATAATATTTTAGGGTAGGGGTTGGCAAACTGTGACTGTGGGCCAAATCTGGCTCATTGCCTGTTTTTGTAAATAAAGTTTTATTGGAACACAGCCAGGCTCATTCATTTATGTATTGTCTATGGCTGCTTTCATGTAACAGCGAAGTTGAGTAGTTATGACCATATGGCCTGCAAAGCCTAAAACATCTACCATCTGGCCCTTTACAGTCAAAGTTTGCCGACCCCTGGTTTAGAGAATTGATCTAGGGCCTTTAGTTCCAATCTTCTGTATACCAGAATCTAACGTTGAAAGGAGAAACATTCCTATATTTCTACACATTAAGAGCAATTTTGTGCTTACACTATAGCAGAATTCTTTCCTGCTCTAAATTTTGATTAGGATGAATGAGTTCTAAACAAACTTAAAGAGGGAAAAAACTTTATGAAAATGATAAATTTAAAACTCTGTTTTAGTAGTCTTCACATTGCCACCTGAAGATATACCCAGGACAAGTATTATAGGAGAACATTCAGTGTATTAAGTCAATTAGCTTAGCTTTGTCTATTGGTCATTGAATTCCACGAACAGTGTTGAGTATCCAAAACATGACAGGTACTGCATTAAATTGCACATTAGGATAGAATTACTCTGCATAACCTTTAAAGCATTCTTTTTGGAATATTTATTTGCACATCTGTATCCTGAAGTATGTACATGTGAGATGTAGTGGCGTTCAGTGTGACTGGCACGTCCATGAATCAGTGACACCAATGGAGAGATGCATTCCAGGGAGGAGGCCCAGCTGCATCATAAAATGTGCTTATTATTGTCTCTGTGGTCCCTGTTGATGTGAGGTCACCCCTGCATGGAGCAGTAAAGAAATACTTATTCTCTCACAATTTAAATAGTTTATTGCATTATTTCTCCATCAATCATTGTAGAAAAAAATTGTTCTTTCTGCATTGCAATATATGGTTAAATATATTTTAAAAAGTTTGTTCAAAATAGAGGAGTAGCTGTGAGACACATGGCAGTAGCCATAATCAGGAAGGAAATGTCACCTCTACGGGTTATTAACTTGACATACCACTTACAGGCATGTCATAGGAAAAAAAAAATCTTGTTTTCACAGCCAGGCAGGCTAACCTTGTTTTGATTGTAAACCCAATGGGTTTGTCCTGAGAAGTCAATACCCAATTTATTGTAAATGAGAACAGCAGCATGCTGCCAATTTCAATATTCACGGAATGGGTACCAGAACTGTTATTTTCTTGCCTCTGTCACAAACACCACACAAGGAATGGTCAGCTAATACTCCACAAACACTTCATTTCCTGATTACAAATGTCTGATAAACTATTTGGACTCGGCAGTATCAGCCAAGCATCGTATGTTATGGCCAGGATTGATGTTATGTCTAGAAATGGACTAAATTTGTATTTGGGGCTGACAGCTCAGAAGGCATAATAGCAGGTACCCCATATGGCCTTTAGTTTGGCATAAACAGCCATGGGGATGATATATGGTGTATGTGTCACAATTCAGTGCAGACTACTTTCACAATTTCCTCTTCAATCAATACTTTCACCTTCCTGTAGAGATTAAAATGGGCATATGTTGTCGCAGTATTATTAAATAATTATTGGGAAAGAGGAAGGACACACTCTTGCCAATAAGACTTTGATTCTGGGTAGTATGGCCATGTGACCAGGCAAATACTTAATTTTCCAGTCTTTTCTGCCACTTAGCATGACCTCGTGATACGAATTTGGCCTACCAGACACAAATGAAAGTTTGCTAGGTGAGTCCTCTGAACAAGCTTTTTGTTTTTCTGATAAACAAAGACAAACTTGGCTGGCAGAGATTTTTGTCTATCATTCTCCCTCCATCTCTCTCTTTTTGCCTCAAACTTAAGCATAATGCTGGGAAGTGTAGTAGTCATATTGTGATCATGTGGCTAAGAGGCAACACGATGAAGGTGGCAGAGCAGAAAAAGAGAAAGAGCCTGGGTTCTGAGGTCATCACCAAACTGCTACCCAGACCTGGACTAGAGGTCTCTCTTTTGTTTCTGGAATACAAACCCTACTTGATAGGTTTGGTCACCGCTAGTTGGATTTTCTGTTGCTTTCAATTAAACTCATTCCCAAATGACATAAGAAAAAAATAAAGGATTTTTAACAGGCTGCCCTTGTGAAAAACAGCTCAGTCAGGACAGTGGCACAGGAATAGTCAAATAGATCAATATTTATTTATTTATTTATTTTTGAGGCAGAGTCTCACTCTGTAGCCCTGGGTAGAGTGCAGCGGTGTCATCATAGCTCACAGCAACCTCAAACTCCTGGACTCAAGCTATCCTCCTGCCTCAGCCTCCCAAGTAGCTGAGACTACAGGCACATGCCAGGACACCTGGATAATTTTTCTATTTTTTGTAGAGATGGGATCTTGCTCTTACTCAGGCTGGTCTCGAACTCCTGAGCTCAAGTGATCCTCTTGCCTCGGCTTCCCAGAGTGTTAGGATTACGGGCGTAAGCCACCACGCCTGGCTAGCTATTTAATTTTTAATTAAAGTTAAATAAAAGTAAAAATTCACTAGCCACATTTCAAGTTTTCTATAGCCCCATGTGACTAGCCGCTAACATATTGGATAGTGCAGATACAGAACATTTCTATTATCGTAGAAAGTTCTATTGGATAGTGTTAGTTTAAATAAATCTCAGAGTTAAAAGCTTAAAAAGGAGGGTGCTACATTCATAAGTATTTGAAAGTAAGTTTAGATCCTTATTGTAAATGCATTTTAGTTGATTTCTTTCTTCCTTAAAGGGAGCTGTATGTTTCAAAGAGTATTACAAAGGATAAGTTTGTGGAATGACTTGCCTTCCTTGGAAATGTAGAAAGGCTAAAAATAGCACCTTGGGTCCTTGCAAAGAAAAAAACTCTGATCTTCTGGGTACAATGCTCCCTGATTATAGAGCTCCTTGCTTTCTATCCACAGACTGTATAAAAACAAACATCTCACAATGTTCCCTTTCTCCTGTTCCACCTTCCCCAGCCACTCTCCCACAAACACACACACAGAACTGGAGTTGAGAGGCTGACGCCATGCTAAGTTAGGGATGTGGTTTCTTGAGGGCTGCATGTCCTAAGTGCAGTGCACACCTGGCTTCACTGTGTACACTGTACTTTCCTGAAGTCACAGGCACCAATGGCTTTGGCTAACACAAATAAGGTTGTCTAAACACTCTGAATTCTATCAGCCAATGTTCTCAGTTCCTGCTTTAGAGATTGACAGCAAAAAAAAAAAAAGTTTAGAAGCATGGTTAGAAAGAGGAATGGTCTAAGGATTTTTGTTGTTGTTATTTTACTTTTTAAAGCTTGACCAAAAAAATGCCAACCAGGAAACACAAGATTGAAACAAGGCACCAGGAATTCCAATGTGATTTTTGTGATCTTTGCCATGGTGATGTTTGTCAAGATGAAATTCAGTCTTTTACTAGAAAGAGCAGAGGTCTTTGGAGTCTGCACAGACCCAAGCCAAATCCGAATTCTGTCACTGCCTAGCTGTCTGACCTCCCGCGAGATGGCTGACCTCTGTCATTTGCAAAATGAGGATTATAATATTTTACCTTGATTTGATGTTGTAAAGATTAAAACAAGATGAAAAATACAAAGAGCTGGAACAGGGTAGACAGACATCCTATCAGTTAGCTGTCAATTTTTTCTCTGCTAAAGTACTGTGAGATGACTTACTAACATGACATGAAAAATACCCAACAAAGCTATTAAATTTAGCACCCATACCTTGAGAGTGAGGGAAATACCAGTAAGTATGCTTTTAACGATCAAGATTCTTTTTTTTCCTCCTGTCTCCTGTCCCCATTTTAGCAACACAAGGACTGTGTTGCTTTGGTTAAAAACAAAAGGGAGTATACAGAAATTGTTTATGGGAATATTAGATGCCATTCCTAAGCCAAAAGTCCATAACTCTGGTTTTTAGGGAATAAGTGATCTGGTGGCAAAGTGTTTGTGTCACTGAATGCAAGTGATGTTAAAGAGAACATAAAAGACAATACCTGTAAGGTAATCCAGACATTCTAGCAATTTCTTCTCTCGGGAGAAATCTAAGGCAAAGGTATCAAATGTGTCATTGAGGTTGATTTCAGGAATTAGGACCTGGGAGGACGCAGTTGCCATGGAGACTCTGTAATTGAAACAAAACAACTTTTTAGAAATGTCAAGATGGCTTTCACCATCACTGCTCAGGAATGAAAAAAAAATAAAAGGAAAAGAAATATCATTTTTTTTTTAAAGTGCTGCTTTTATACATGAGTTTAGAAGAATCTCAAAATGGCACAACACAGTAACACAAAGCAAATGAATGCAAGCTTAAAGAGAAAGTGAAGGCATTGGAAAAACAACTGAACGGCTTCCTCTCTCCCTTTTTACTACTGCAAAAAAATTTCCTGTGAAAGCTAAAGAATATTCATATTTCATGTTGCTGTGTATTTAACAGCTTGGCCCCGTCACATCTAACCCCAGCAAGAAGCACATAGCTCCAGGCATTTCTTCACACATCTGTCTGGGAAACTTGTTTGTTCCTTTCAGACTCGACCCTGCTCCACTTCAAAGGGGAGTCTCCAAAATTTCAAACTGCATAAAAGGCAAAGCAAAGATTAAAAAAGAATGTTTCCAGATATTGGATTAGTTTAATCAATTACTAGACTCTCTCTAAAATAAACATTAAAAAGCGAGTTTTTTTGTCTGGCTCATTTTCGCTCTCCTTGTATTCATTTTCTTACACCATATTCCCAGCAGATGCCATGGAAAATATTCATGAACTTTCTCGCAAATTCCCTCAGTGGATGCACTGTTTCTCCTCTTCCTTTAGGTTTTCTGGTTAGAATTCTCATGTATAAACTATAATGCAAGGTACTGGTGTGTATCAGTCTCCTTCTATGCATTCTCAAGTTGATTTGGAAAGTTCAATTATTAATTACCAACACTGACTGATGCAAAAATGTAAGTGGTTCTCTTAAAAAACAGGAAAATTGTGGCATGGAGTATATCACTTCTGAACATATAAAATGATGTAATCTGTAACCTGTAATCTTGTTGAGTTTGATGTTTTGTTAAGTTCCATAAACAATACTCCTAGGAGCTACCACATGCAGGGTATTGTGTAGGGCACTGGGAATTTTTGAGCAAACAAGTTTGAAATGATTTAGGTCTAACTCTAGCTACTTCTTTTCTAATTAAGAAGATCAATGCTCATTTATACAAGGCCACAAAGCTAGGTGGCAGCAACCAGGAGAATTCCAGGTCTGCACTCTTTCCATTTAATCTAGAAAAATTTCAGTCTAGTTACCTCAAGGGTAACTGGTCAGTCTCGTAATGGTTGTTAAAACTTTGGAGTTTAGGCCGGGCAAGGTGGCTCACGCCTGTAATCCTAGCACTCTGGGAGGCCGAGGTGGGTGGATTGCTCGAGGTCAGGAGTTCGAAACCAGCCTGAGCAAGAGCGAGACCCCGTCTCTACTATAAATAGAAAGAAATTAATTGGCCAACAAATATATATAGAAAAAATTAGCCGGGCATGGTGGTGCATGCCTATAGCTACTTGGGAGGCTGAGGCAGAAGGATCGCTTGAGCCTAGGAGTTTGAGGTTGCTGTGAGCTAGGCTGATGCCACGGCACTCACTCTAGCCTGGGCAACAAAGCGAGACTCTGTCTCAAAAAAAAAAAAAAAAAATATATATATATATATATATATCTTGGCTATAAAAATTACACCTGTGGGTATATCTGTACAATGGATTGTTATTCAGCCACAGAAAGGAATGAAGTACCCATACATGCTACAACATGGATGAACCCTAAAAACATTAAGCTCTATGAAAGAATCTGGTGACAAAAAGCCACATATTGTATGATCCATTTGTATGAAATGTCCAGAAGAGCCAACTCCATGGAGACAGAAGCAGATTGGTATTGCCTGGGACTGAGGGGAGGGAAGATGGGGAGTGACTGTTTAATGAGTATGGGGTTTACTTTTGGGTGATGGAAGTGTTTTGGAACTTTATAGAGGTGGTAGTCACACAATATTGTGAATGTTCTAAATGCCACTGTATTGTGCACTTGAAAATGGTTAAAACTACATTATGTGAATTTCATCTCAATAAAAAGAATATACCTATGAAATGTCCAAAATCCATGGAAATACAATTTCTATAGTTCTGTTTCTGGCAGATTTTCAGGGTTACATAAGGAGGAAAGTAGAGAGGTTAAACAACACTGTCATAATGGCAATGACATTGGAATCCATAGATGAAAGTCTGAAGAGGCATAAACTCTGGAAAGAAGAGTTTCAAGTGTTTGAATGAGGGTGGAGGCTCTAACTTCCCCTCCTAACCCTTTCACCAAGAAGCAATGAATAGCAGAGTTGTGTGATTTTGTTGACTAAATATTGCACTCAAGGAAATTGGATTGATTATTGTTACTAACAGCTACGAATTTACACTGATGGATACAGGAATGGTTGCTAGGCATTTTTCACTGATGGTCAAAGTGTATCTAAAAAATGCTTTCCTTGAATACAAAAAGCCCTCAAAACCCACAGAGGTCCTAGGATTATTCTCAACAAATATTCAACAAATATTTATGAAGTCCTTAAAGTGTGCTACATACCAAAGAGCCCAGAATATATGCACCAATGCTGAAAAGTTAAAAGAAATGCGATGGTGCCATTTGAACTCAAAAAATATTTCAAAGTGCAACCCCAGTTAATTCTTGGTTATAATGTTCAGCAGGGAGAATTGCACCCATGCCATTGTGGAAAGAAGAACTGAACTTGCACTTGTATTTCTCTGGCTTTAGCAGATCCCCTGTCCAGTGGCAGAAGCCTCTTTGTTCAGGGTCATCCAAATAGACTGGGTTCCCATATTTCTCCTGGTTTTGTGGTCCACAAACAATTAAATAAAACATGCTTTAGTAAAGTGACACTGTTAAAGATGCCTGCCATCTTGCTGGCAGAAACTTTGTAGAGTGGGAACCAAAAAGATGAACATTCCCAGCCTGGGAGGCAGACTGACAGCAAGAATCTTTGGAGATTACCGAAGCTTTTAACACCTACGCATTTGTATTTTGATGGAAGGAAAGATACTTATTTTTGGCTACAATTTCAAGTTCTTAATTGGAGTGACAGGCAAGGGGAAATGGGCCAAAGTCAACATTTTAGGCCATGTTTTTATTTCCCAAATCCTTGTTCCCCATCTTCTGGCCTTTTAGATAAGTTGCCAAAACCCACCATGGCTGTTAGTGCTATGCCACTTTCTGAACTTCTGGCTTTACAGCCATGTCTCTGTGCACATGTGTGTGTGTACATGCGTCTGTGTGTGTGTGTATGTGGAGGTGTGTGTTAAGCTCTTCTTAATATATTGGAGCAAATAAGGGCATTGTGTCTTATCTTGATGCTTAAGAGGGTGGGTTGCACATTATTCTCTACTTCTATTTCTGCTTTGATGACCCTAATCTCCATGACACTCAGTTGCTAGTAGCTACATGAAGCCAGTTTTCCAGAAGGTGGACACGTCTATAGCCACACTGCTCACACCGCTTCTGCCAAACAATGCACATCGCCATGGTAAAACCCCGTGAGGTCTCACATAACAAAGTGTGTTTTACTTTGGTCAGCTCAGGATTTCCCAAACACATTTGGTCCTGGAACCTTCTTGTAGTCTTAATGCCTATGAACACCCTGGAGAACACACTGCAAAAGCTATTCATCAGATGTGCTATAATTCTTAGAACTGAGTGACATCTTTCCAGAGCTAACAACTGGAATTCTTGGCTTTGTATTCTGGAAAAGCATGGCAGATCCTTGAACTGACTATGGTGGTGAGGAACAGAGGGATCATCTTGAAGAGTCTGAGAACCTTCTAGATGCTCTGAAAAATGGGCACTGTTCAGAGGGAATTTTCTTTACTATCCTTTTGATACAGATAATTCGTTGCTAAGAGTGATTTTAAATTTAGATTCATTAGACCAACTTTCTTATGCCTTGATTTAGTGAATAGTTTTGCTTATTTAACATAATGTTATAAAAGTACATATACAATCACACCAAAGACCTATTAGTGTAGCTTGAGAATACAGTATGTTATACATTACGTTTGTATTCATCTATTGAGTGGGAAGAAAGGAAACTAGTATTAAATATTTGTTGCACATTCAACTTGTGACAGAAACTGGACTAATGTTTTTACTACATCATTTCATTTTATCTCTATAATAACTATATTAGGTAGGAATAATTGGCCCTGTTTTATAGATCCATTCACTCACTCATTCACTCATTCATCCATGTCAGGCAGGTTGCAATGTGCTGGGGCTATCACAGCAAAAACAAGGTGGCTGGGGATCCTGCCCACTTGGAGCATATGAGCAAAATGAGACTTAGAAATGTTAATGAGCAGCCCCAATGCTATCTATAATTACTAAGCAGTTAGTGCAGAGCCAAACATTTGATTCCAAAGGATATGCATCTCCTACAGTATGAAGCTTGTGACTCTCTCTCCTCTCTTGTTTTTTTTTTTTTTTGATGTTTCTGAATTAAAAAATTTTTGTAGTTTTGATTCAGCTTGTAGGAAGACATATCTACTTTAACTGATTTAACAATGCAGAAAAATCTCATCTAAGTCTCATATTAGGAATACCTGCAGGATTAAAAGTTTATTCTGGGTTCCCCACTTGAATTGAAGAATAAAGATTGTTTGGACATATACAGGAGCCAAAGCCCAAGGCAGACACAAGAGAAGACAGAGGACTAAGAAGTCACATCCTAGAGAAGAATGTTAAGTGACAGGGTGAAGAACAGAGGCAAGTAGACAGGCACTGAAACAGAGACATACAAGGAGTGCTTGACTGACATGTTGAAATATGAAAACACAGATCCAACTAACATTCATGGAGTATCTATAATGCTTAGGACCTGTTCTTAGTAGATTTCAGCAATGTTATCATAAGAGACAGCTATTCTGAGCCCAATTTTCTAAGTATAAAATAGCTCAAAGAACCATAGTTAAAAAGTGACAGTGCTAGGATTGGAACCCAGGGCTCCCGACTCCTAGTCTAAGCTGAGCACCCTTTTCCTATATCCTGGCTTCTGGAAAGGGAAAAAGACTCAGGAATTCACCAAGAGGAATGACAAATAGACATGGGAAGAGAGGGGATTGCAGAAACAAAGAAACAGGGGCTCGCGGCAAATTCTTACAGGTTTTGCGTATTCTAACTTGACGGAAGCACATTCTTTGTAGAAAGAGAAGTCAAAGTCAGGTTCCCATTCTTGATGAAGTGGGCTTGCTATAGGGAGAGCTGAATGGGAGCAGATATGCCCCACTGGATCTGAGGGAGATCGCATATGAGCATTCACGCGCTGGTGCTATACTTCAAATGCACACCCCTTCTTTCAGTATAACTGTTATAGGGCCACATTTTCTTAGGTCACTAGGTGAAAATTTATTCATGTGACACTTGGTTGAATTTTTAGGGATTGCTGAGGAATGCAGCTTGTAGTAGCCACTTCATCTGGACATCTCACAATTCGTAGGTAGAGAAAAGTACTCTCGGATTCCAGCTGGAAACCATGACTTAAGTGTAAATGCTATCTATTAGTGTTCCGGGTACCCTGGAGTATTAGTGCTATTTGCAGTTTGTAACTTTAGGATGAATACTGAGCAATTGGATGTGGTCCAGATGAGAGCAGTGAAAACAAACACTTGGAATCTAGGAATTATAAGGAGAGAAATGGGACTCTCTTAGAGTAAGGAGAGGAGCATTTTAAGGATGTAACAGACATGACAGCCAGCTGTTATCCATGTTCTTTAGAAGAGACAAGCATCTAATCAGCTGTAAAAGGAATTTTCCCCCAATATAAAAAGTAACACAGTCAAGCTGGTTGGATAGTAGACTAGAGCTGCAAAAATACCGTACACTACTCTAAAGAACAGTGAAAATGGAGATATCAATGCCTACCTCCCTATGCAATATTTTGACAATTAGCAGAGTCTGAAACAAGCAAGCACTCAATAAATGTTAGTTTCCTTTCTCCTTCCTTGAAGAAATTCTAGCCATAAGGTGGCAAGTATTTTTCCCCCTAGGCCAGGGGTTGGCAAAGTACAGCCCACCACCTGTTTTTGTAAATGGTTTTATTGGCACACGGCCACTCCCATTCATTCCTGTATTCTGTGGCTGCTTTAGAGCTGGCTACAACGGTGGAGTTGAGTAGTTGTGACCTAGACCTTATAACCTGCAAAGCTGAAAATGTTTATTCTCTGGTTCTTTACCGAATAAGTTTGCTGACCTCCGTTTTAGAATAAAGACCAGCATGGATGAGCTCTCTGGGGTCTTCTAGTGATAAGATTCTATCATTACTTTGGATAAAGGGCTGTTAACTGAAAATCAGAATGCATGAAAAGTCAAGTCCATTAGCCTTGGTTGGAGATGTCATTTATGTGGTGTTGGTTGTACCCAGCCCAGTCTAGTGCTGCTCTTTGAATCCATTAGAATTGCTACAGATGTCTGTGTCATTGAAGATGAGTAACTTTTATGCCAATCGTGTATGTGTACCGAAGGAATACACATCCTTGCCAGTTTTACTGCTGAGATGACCCTTCAGATAACATCATTTTAAAGTTCTCTACCCTAGAATAGAAGGTACTTTAAAAGAAGGTGGTATGAGGTTGACAGTTCGGTCCTTTCTTTCCTGCATGAGTCAGCCTTGAACTTTTTGAGGCCAAGCTTCTCAACAAAATGAAAACGGGCCTAACAAAGAACAACACCTGTGCGATTTTTTTTTTTAAATAGATGAGCCCTGTGATGGAAGAAAAGATTCCCTTTCATGTTTTTGCCTTCATTTCGATTCTTTGTTATCAAGTGTATGATAACATCAGGTCTGACAGTCACAATAAATGCTGTTTTTGTGCCATCATAAGCTTCCCCCACTAAAAGCCGGTTGATTTTATTCTTTCTAACTGGTGGACTCTTGTTTCAAAGGCCTTGAACTCCAGGCTGTTACTGAAAGGGCTCTGACTTGTCAAAGGGAAGCATCTTTAGCTGGAACGTAACAGCTCAAAGCCTCTATTCTCTCCTCTGCCTTGAAAATGAAAACAAAAGCAAGGCAAGGACAAGGCCAACCAATCACACCCCAGATACAAGAGCCCAGTGGCCAAGAAGTTCCTGGCACCCCTGTACTCACCTCTCAGTAATATTCTTAGCAGTCTGGAGGAATCGGGCATGATCATTCTCCTTCAGAGAGTGTTCCGCCTGAGAGATGAGTGATGCCGACCGCTCAATGCACTGTTTGCAGTTTGCAATCTGCTGAGCCAGTTTGCGAAGCCTCATCACCTTGAACAAAAGAGGCATGGAGAGAGATGGTTACATGTGTGGGCTCACTTAGTGAAAAGGCATTGGGCTGGACTCCTTATTTTGTTGTGTAAAAGTCATCCTTCCATAAAAGTTCACAAAGTAGGCCTAGAGGAATATTGAAATATGGAAAGCCCAAGTATGGGACTCTTGTCTTAGATACCTTTTTATCTCCTTGGAGAAGTGTTGCTAATTTGTTTTATAAGGAAATACTGACTTGCGAATTGCTTCCCTGTTGATGGGAAAAAAAGGTGTTGCCCAGTGGCAAGGGTCACCAGACCTCTTCCCCGGATTATTCCACACAATGGCTGCAAAACTGCAGGGAACCCTGGCACTTTCTCTATCTCAGGTTCTCAGCTGTGCCATCAAGAAGATAAATCACTCCTAGAGGTACAAATTTATGGCTTAAGTAAAAACCATTTTCTAAAAAGCTCTTTCCAATCCATGTAGGAAATTTGTGATGTAAAAGCATTAGGTATTACTGTTTCCCACACCACCTAAAACTCATGTGTTAAATTAACAGAAAGGGAGCGTTTTTCCCATTGATTAATATTTTTCCTGTTGAGCAGACGAGAGAAAGCCAAAAAAAGCACAGCTGGGCCATTTCCCCTCGCTGGGAACGTCATTTCCAGGCACTTTGTGCTCACTTGATAACTAAGAACTATTTTGATAAGAATTTCCCAGTTGGGATAAAAACGCATGATTGCTTCACAGCCTCCATTCCAATTCCTGATTCTGTCTTGCTTGAAAATGACCCTCAAACGTAATTGACCATAACCTCTGGGGCAGGCCAAGATAAGTCCAAGGTAACCTACTTGACCGTTAGCTCTGGTGTCTGCAATATGCTGTGAGATGAGGCCCTGTGGCCCGAAGCCAAGTTAAAATTAGACTGCTAATAGGAATTGCCATGCGCCTACAGCCCCCATCCACACACCCAGGGACAGGTTTTGGCTGGCTTTATGATAATTCTGGAATGGAAAATAGCCCCGGGTGAAAGGGTAGGGAGGAGGCCGGTTAATCTGTCTTACAGACAAGGCTGGCTCAGGCTCCCTCCAGAATTCCTGCTAACTCCAAGAAATTCCTTCTTTCTCCAAGTCATCATTATCATCCCTGTATAACTCTAATCTAAGAAAAGGAAGGAAGGAGATGTCAGAACTTGAGGCCTCTAAGGAACATCCACTTCCAAGTATGTACTAACTATAGCAAACAAAGGAAATTAATGCTGAATTGAGAAGTATCAGGCACAAGACTTCAGCCAAGGGCGAGAAAAATTCCTGAAAGTCGGAGAATGAAGTGTCAAAACTTTGGGACAAATAGTGTGCGATCTTGAGCCTGGTAAAAGACTTAACTCATTATAATTATAGTTAGTTGTCCCCGGCAGATTAACTGTGTTCATTGGTTGAATGAAATAACATTTATTTTTACACCAAATAGAATTTAGGCTCTGGCATCATTATCCAGAGGCAAAGCTAAGGACAGCATCCAGTCAGGATATTAGAACACGTCCACAAGAAATTGTCAGAGGAAGGAAAAATTCCAGAAGGAACAATAACTTACTATCCCTAGACAAACCAAGTGAATGGAATATTTAATCACACAACACACACACAAAATTTAAATTACATGGCAGAACCGAAGATGTTTAATATAATTCTAACAGAAGAAAATAAGGTCAAAATATTCCTTTAGAATAACTTCAGGTCAATCACTTATCCTCTGGATAAGCCTATAAAAGACTATGCAGATTATAAATGTCATGACGCTTGAACTCCAGTTTTTTCTCTTCGTTTTCTATCATGGTACTGACAATTAAAAGTGACATAAGAAGGGAAAAAAAGCCCCAAATCATTAATAAATGAAAGCGAGACAAACTCCTGTGAAAATACTAGAATGTTCTACAAAGAACAGTTTGGGGCATAATTTTAACTATAGGTCAGTGTACAATTCCATCTGATACACCAGATTAGAGCTTCTCAAACCTAGTGTGCAAAACAAATCGGCTGGGGATTGTTTTAAAAGAAAAACTATAGATGTTTAGGTCTACTCTTCAATATTCTAATTAAGGAGTTGTAACTCACAGAGCAGCAGGAATTTGCATTTCAACAAGCAATGAACATTTTTTAATCTGCAGGTGATAAATCATTAGGATGGTCATGATTAGCATTAAAAAACAAATAGAAGACAAGAGGAGAAAAGAAAATAGCTGAGTGCATTCTTGGTAGAAAGAGTAAGTTGGGTTTTGTAAAAATTTTTTGTGTGTGTCTATGCTGTATTGTGATGTAATATGTATTTCTTACTCTGAGTTACAGTAAAAAAAAAAAAAAAGAAAAAGAAAATAAAAACATTGCTCTAAGTTAGGTGTTCACAAACCATGATTTGTGGGCCAAATCTGGCATGTAGTCTGTGTAAATAAAGTTTTATTAGCATTCTGCCACACTCATTCCTTATGAATCACTGGTGATTGCTTTCATGCCGCGACATTGGGCAGAATTAAGTTGTTGCAGCAGAGACCATATGGTAAAACCTAAAATATTTATTTTTTGCCCTTTACAGAAAGTTTGCTTAAATGATTCTGGTCAGGTGGCCCTGATTTGAAGCACACTCTGAGACACTGTCCTACTTGTCAAAGCACTTCAAACTTAGATCCTGGAGCATAGAGCAAAACACTTAGTTTTATACTAATGCTTTTTTATATATTTTTTAAAAATCTGACAGGATGAATATAATTTGATGTTTTAAAAAATACTAAATATTGACAGATAAGAAGATTCTGATGTATATGTTTTAATGTGGCAGGGGACAATTTTTCCAGTCGACTCTGTTCATTTTTCCTTTGGGAAGTGAGATTGCCATGTTGTAACTTTTGGAATTCACTCTGTACTTATCATAGAAATATTTTGTCTGTTGGAATCTCCTTTTAGTGGGGACACAGGCCTGTTCATATAATTTTATTTGCTGTTTATTATAACTTACATACTCTTTTAAAAGCAGCCTTATTTTGCTTTAAATGCATTTTAAACACTTTAATATATATGCTTTCATATGTATGTAGGATACACACCCCAAAACTGCTATCTGAATTGACAACGAAGCCTGTATTCAACATCTAAGGCCACGGAAAGCCTGAAGATTCAGTCCCAATTAATTCTCTTAAATTTTGAAGACTTAGTGTACATAAAAGGCAGTGATGAAAAGGCACCCTTTTACTGTGTAGCTGTGGCCTTCAACAGTCTACCATAGATCTGTGTCTGAACGTCAAATGCATGAACTCAGTCTGGAGTTTGCCATCAGCTTTTTGTGTATTGACATGAAATTTACCCCCTGTCACTGAAAAAGTAAGAAAATTCTTTCCCGGGATGCTCATGGCTTAAGACTCTCTGGTCTGTCCACTTGTAAAGGCTGTCAAGCTATTTGTTTCAGAGAATACACAATGATCCAAGAGCAGCAATTACCAGTAGGTACTAATGGACGACACCACCACCTGCTTGGCAACCTCCCCGAATTGGAGGATTTGCAGTACGTTTGTTTATACCAGGTTTAACAGCCTTATGATCGGCATCAGAGACCAACAGGGGCAAAGTAAGGAGGTTGATTAAATTTCACTTTGTTGGTCTTTACAATTCTGCCAGGTTCTTTCTCCACCTGCCCACTTCTAAGTGCTTGTTATAAGGCATCACTGTCCCTTCTCTTGACTCAGTGCCCTTGGCCACCACTGCCACCCTGGGGTACAGGGCCCCAAGCCCCAAAGTGGGCCCCAGGTCTACACTTGCCCTCCCTGCCTGGCACCTAAGATTTCCAGAGTGTTGGTGCTCACACCCTTCCTTATGGAAACATACCTCTGACACCATGTGCTCTGGCCAGGGACTTAGGTCACTGTGAATTCAAGGGTTTGGAGTCAGCTAGTCTTGGTCATGTGCCAAAGTACTAACTCAAGAGAAAGCCCAACTGGGCCCTCATCTTTCCCAAGTAATGTCTGCTTTCTAATATTTCCTTTTGAAATAATGTTCCTGAGCAAATGTACACTTAAAAAAGTGAAACATTTCAAACATACAGAAAATTGAAGAAGTAATATGATGAACCGTCCTTTACATAGCACCAGCTTTACCAAATCTCAATATTTACATCATGTAAACTTCAGAGTTTTCAAAAGGAAGTAAAATATTATTGCTGGCATTAAAGCCCCTGTGTGACGTGCTTTCTCTCTCTCTTTTTAGAGACTTGCTTTGTTGCTCAGGCTGGAGTGCAGTGGCACAATCATAGCTCACTACAGCCTCGAACTCCTGGGCTCAAGTGATCCTTCTGACTCAGTCTCCTGAGTAGCCGGAATTATATGTGCACACCATGACCCCCAGTTCCTAATCTCATTCACATCTCTCTCTCCAGAGGAAAACACCCTCTTGAATTTAGAGTTGATTACTCCTAAACACGTTTATGTACACATGCCTAAACAATGTATGGGAATTTTTGGTAGTTTACCAAATTTCATATAACTCTTCTCATTCCATACAAATCATTATAAAACTTGCTTGTGCTTTTGTGATTTGTCCATGCTAATATATATCACCTTAGTTCATTCATTTTAATTTCTGAAGACTGTTTTTTTGAATAATACACAATTTATATGTCTAATAAAAAGCTGTATTGAGATAGAATTGACATATAATAAACAGCACATACTTAAAGTGCAAAATTTGATAACTTTTCAAATATGTGCATACCCATGAAACAGTCACCACAGTCAAGATAATAAACACATATCATGCCCCAAATTTTCCTTCTGCCTGTCACCCCACCCCTAAACAAACATTGATTTTCTTTTTGTTAAGGTAAATTAGTAGAAAGTACCATCTTTAGTATTTCATATGAGTATAGTCATACAATACATGCTACTTTCTGTTTGACTTCTTTCACTCACCATAATTATAGTGAGATTCACCCATGTTGTTACATGTACAAATAGTCCATTCCTTTTTATTACTGAA